AGTAGTACATACATACATATTTAAGTAGCTAAATATATAACTAAGGGTAGTAATCTGTGGCGTACCATGAATTACTATCCTTATCTGATGACTAGGCAACGGTGCGAGTGATATTTTTGGTATAAAAAGCGTCTATAGGTTAGTCCACGCGTCCACTCTTGGCATACTTTTAACGTAAAATATACGTTTCCGATACTTTTTGACTCATACACAAGGAAAAAAATTAGTGTGCACGGACCACATATCTGAAGATAAACTTCTTTTCTTAAATAACTAACTAAATTAATTCCCTAGTTTCATTCGTTCGTTATAGTATACCTACCTACACACATCAAAAGTGTCTAGGGATCAACATATATTTTTGCAATAACTTTTCTCCTGATTGATATTAATTAAAATTTTCTTTAAGGATTCATCAAATAAAGTGTTTTCGTTTGTCACAGTAACGATAAACCAAGTCACCTTTGCATTAATAAAGAAATTTGCCATTTTCCTAATAAAGGGATTTTTGACATTTGAACCACTAACACAAAAGTTCGAAAAAAAGACTGAAATAACAGTTTTCTCTAAAATTTTATTGGGTAACTTAAACAATTAATAATCCGTATTTCTACCGCGAACACTAACAACACAAGAACATCGGTTTGGCATACTCAAAATGAGTTCATCCAAATCACGCTGTGGAATGGCCGCCCATGTTCGTTGCAACAACAAAAAAAGGTCTTCTTGCGACTGGATACCCTCCATATTCGGCAGAGCTCTTCTCTGTAGCATATCCCATGCATGCTCAATCGGGTTCATGTCTGGCGAATGAGCAGGCCAGGGCAGGACATTGATGTTAGCTGCGGCGAGAGTCTGTCTTACAACTCTTGCGGTGTGCGGTCGTGCATTATCATGCATTAACTGAAATAAGGGACCGATTTGCACTTGTAGAGGAACTATGACGTCTGATACAATCGTCTCAGCATAAATTTGAGCGTTGAGGTTGCCTCTGATCTAAATCAACTCAGTTCTTCCGCCGATCCAAATACCCGCCCATACCATGATGGTTCCACCACTATAAGGATGGACTTCCTGGCAGGATTTTAATCGCTGTTGGCGTCCAGGGGTTCTCCAGTGTCGTATACGTCTTGTATCCGGTCTCATACCAAAACGAGACTCATCAGAAAAGCACACGAAACGCCATTGCTCTTCTGCCCAATTTCTGTGTTCAAGAGCCCATTGATATCGAATCCTACGATTGTGCATTGCTATAGGTGGTACCCGTAGCGGTCTTCGGGAATGAAGGTTCACTTCATGCAAGCGGTTTCTGACTGTTTGGTCGCTAATTAAGTTCCCTGAAGAGTGATGAAGCCTCACGGCTAACATCATGGCGGTTATTGTTGGAGCTCTTCGAGTTAAGATTTGAATGTATCGGTCTTGTCTCCGTGTGGTGCAGCGATACCGTCCTCCATGGCGCTCAGCCACGGTACCAGTGCTTCGTTATCGTGTCCAAAGTCGACTGATAACACTCTGACTTGTATTCAGAGCTAAAGCCACAGTACGTTGCCGGGAACCAGCTTCTATCATTCCCACGGCTCTGAGCATTTCTTCCCTGCTTAAATGACGTCGCCGCTCCATAATAACGTTGGTTTTAATCAGTAGTAGGGAAACAGTAGCACTAATAATGTCTTCAATGCGTTGTATGTTTTTATAGGGAAAATATTGACAGCTGATTTTCATCTTTTACTCGAATTTGATTCACAGTTCCTGATTCAAATTATGAAATGCACCAAAAAGGATCCATATAAATTTATAAAATCATAAATTTATTACAAAGCCACATCTCAATCTCAAGAAATCCGCATAAAAATGCTTGATCCCTAGACACTTTTGATGTGTGTATTTAACTTAAAATAACTAAAGACCACCGGGATGGATTTTGATGCACTTTGGCACAGATGATCATGACTATAATACCTTTCAAACAAATGTAGTTTAAGCCGTGGCGGACGTGGGTGCAGCGTCCATACATTTTTACCCAATATTCTTTACCCTTCATTCCATTGGTGGTTGAACCCGAACCACGTACAACCAAGTCCGAAGTTTTCGTTCCTCAACTAATGAATGTCGTCGATTGATGAACTTTTCCAGTTAATTCATCATCATCGTCAGCCTATTAATGTCCCCACTGCTGGGGCACAGGCCTTCCCCATGAATGGAATAGGGAGATTGGGCTATGAACCACCACGTGGGCCCAGTGCGGATTGGGGCGTGCTAACGACTGCAAATGCAGCCTGCACCAACGGCCTAAGGTGCCTTCCGAAGCATGGAGGAACTTGAGATAGAAGATTTTTAGTCACCCATCTAAGCACTGCGAAAGTTGCTTAACTTCAACAATCGCAACCGAACGCGATAACCACCCGCAACATAAAATTCCTCTCTCCAGTTAATTACTGCACTGATAACTAAATATAGGTAATTGAATTATCATTAACAATAAACATTTCAACAAGACACTGCACAATAATTAATGATCTATAATTCACATTAATTGGTAGCCTGTCTGTGCTGTTTCGAATAGCATTTAAATATTATTTTTTGCTGGCAATAGCTTTAGTTGCCCATAGCGCATTCGAGATGTTCTAACTTTAATTACACTTGAAAATTACATTCCATTACGGAAAAGAGCACCTTTGCAAAATATCACAGTGTAATAAAACACATTTGACACGGAGTAGAGAATTGGTTCAAAGCCGGCAAGATAAATAATAAATAAATAAATATTTCCAACACTCACACCAATTAGCCTAGCCCCAAAGTAAGCACTATAAGGCTTGTGTTATGGGATACTAGGGTAACGGATAGAATACATAAACTGTACATATATCGACACCATGAAACCCGGCGTACAAACCACTCGACCTCGGAGGTCGTCAAAGCCAGAGCAGCATATTATTCTGTCACATCAATTATCTTTGCAACTGGACTCTTAACATCAGGTGTTAGAAAATATAACTAGAAAAAATCCACGCGGACCAGGCAACAGCCGGGACTCGAACCCGCACCCTTCGCTATCCGGGTGAATGCACTGACCAATTATGCTACCGCGGCCCTGTTGGCCGCGTGGAAATTCTTCTAACCAATCTTAAGCTGCAAGGCAGCGCCATCTCTTCGCATTGTAGGTAACCCACAAAAGTGCGGGTTCGAGTCCCGTCTGGTGCCTGGTCCGCGTGGATTTTTTTCTAGTTATATTTTCAAAAAATAAATATTTTCAGGTGTTAGATTCGTATTCAGCTGTTCCAAATATAGAAAGGATTAGTTTGAGAAACTCCCTCTTTTCGTTCTTCTGTAAAGTTGGAGTGGAATTTGCCTATTAAAATCCGAGACCGCGTTGAGTTGCAGCTAGAGAGGTTATATTGGCGGGGAAAGAGAGAAAACGATGCTGAAGATTGCTGCAAGATTAAACTAACCTCCGCCACTATAGTGTCGCTACTGGCCTACAGCCACTGCTTGCAGGTTTGGAGCTGGTCCGAGAATGTCTCTCGCATGCACTAACCGTGGTTATCCGAGATGCTCTGGTCGAACAGGTTTTTTCCATAGCATCTTTGCTGACGACACGATACAGGAGGTCATTGACTCGCGGTGCTGCAGATTTGAAGTAACCTCAGCCACTATAACGTTTCTGCTGGCCTACAGCCACTGCTTGCAGGTTTGGAGCTGGTCAGAGAATTTCTCTCACATGCACTAATCGTGATTACCCGATATGCTCTGGCCGGACAGGGTTCTTAAATAGCATCTCTGCTGACGACCGAACACAGCAGGTCATTGACTTGCGATGCTGCAGATTTAAACTAACTAACCTCAGCAACTTTAGTATCTCTGCTGGCGTACACTCACTGCTCGCAGGGTTGGAGTTGGTCCGTAAACATCTCCCACAGGTCCTCACCACGGTCGTTCGGGCTGTAATAGTCGGACAGGGTTCTTGCATAGAATCTCTGCTGACGATCCGACACAGAAGGTCATTGACTCGCGATACTGCAGATTTGAACTAACCTCAGCCACAATAGTATCCCTGCTGGCATACACCCACTGCTCACAGGGTTGAAGCTGGTCCGTAAATATCTCCCACAGACACTCAATGAGGTCTTTTGGGCTGCACTGGTCAGATAGGGTTCTTCGATAACATTGCTGCTACCAACCTGACTCAACAGGCCCTTGACTAGCGATAATGCAGAATTCAACTAACCTCAGACACTATAGTGTCTCTGCTGGCGTACAGCCATTGCTCGCAGGGTTGTAGCTGGTCCGTAAACATCTCCCACGGAGACTCGCCGTGATCTTTTGGGCTAAACTGGTCAGATAAGGTCCTTCGATAACATTGCTGCTGGCAACCTGGCTCAACAGGCCCTTGACTAGCGATGATGTAGGATTCAACTAACCTCAGACACTATAGTATCTCTGCTGGCGTACAGCCATTGCTCGCAGAGTTGGAGCTGGTTCGAGAACATTTCCCACAGGCACTCGCCGTGGTCTTTTGGGCTGCTCTCGTCAGGTAGGGTTCTTCGGTTTCATTGCTGCTGGTAACCTGACTCAACTGGCATTTGACTAGCGATGATGCAGGATTCAACTAACCTCAGAAACTATAGTGTCTTTGCTGGCGTACAGCTATTGCTCGCAGGGTTGTAGCTGGTCCGTAAACATCTCCCACGGAGACTCGCCGTGATCTTTTGGGCTAAACTGGTCAGATAAGGTCCTTCGATAACATTGCTGCTGGCAACCTGGCTCAACAGGCCCTTGACTAGCGATGATGTAGGATTCAACTAACCTCAGACACTATAGTATCTCTGCTGGCGTACAGCCATTGCTCGCAGAGTTGGAGCTGGTTCGAGAACATTTCCCACAGGCACTCGCCGTGGTCTTTTGGGCTGCTCTCGTCAGGTAGGGTTCTTCGGTTTCATTGCTGCTGGTAACCTGACTCAACTGGCATTTGACTAGCGATGATGCAGGATTCAACTAACCTCAGAAACTATAGTGTCTCTGCTGGCGTACAGCCATTGCTCGCAGGGTTGTAGCTGGTCCGAGAACATCTCCTGCAGGCACCCGCCGTGGTCATCCGGGCTGCTCTGGTCAGATAGAGTTCTTCGATAGCATCGCTGCTGGCGGCCCGACTCTGCTGGCAAGGCACCTTCTACCCAAGACGGCTTGAACTCTGTACTGTTGGACAGCTCGCACTCGGGGATCAGGCATCTGCAAGTATGATGAGGATTTAATAACGCTTTAAATTAACAATCATTTTTATAAAACTAGTTTTTTACGGGTTAATGCACGAAACTTTCTTTATTTATTGACGTTTCGTAGCCTTTACAGGCTACGTAGTCAGAATCAAATTTTATTTAATTTTGTCGAGCTACCTTCGAAAGACTTTTTATTGAGCGTTCGGTTATTTCATTGTTCGATTTCTAAATTTTTTTTATTGTCTATGTAATATAAATAACCGAACGCCCAATAAAAAGTCTTTCGAAGGTAGCTCGACAAAATTAAATAAAATTTGATTCTGACGACGTAGCCTGTAAAGGCTACGAAACGTCAATAAATAAATAAAGTTTCGTGCATTAACCCGTAAAAAACTAGTTTTTTAATGAGTGATTTGCGTGAAAACCTAAGAAACAAATATAACAATCATTTAATAATCTTGCCCAGATGAGACGATTTACGTCATTTCTGGTGGCATATTTAAGTCTTTATGATAGCGCAATGTAATAGGAATCGCGTGCGCAATGTGAAAGAATAAATATGTAGGAAACTGACCTAAGGTTTAAATGTTGTATGATTCTACTAATCCCTTTGTGAGCGAGTCTAATAACCACTTGTCCTTTTACGCTCTTAAAAAAATATCAATTGCAACGTCTCACATATAAAAGGGACAACTGGAATTTGGTAATGAAATCCTTAACTGTCGCAAATGGACATCTATATAATTAAAAAATTATCAGTGAGAAAAGCCATAAAAAATCATCTATCTAGAAAAATCGTAGTTCAGGTCTGAGTTTGTGTTACAAATTAAACTCATAGGTTTGTTATCTAAATTATTTCTTTTCATTGATAATACTTTAACTAAACGTGCTGGAACCGTAATCTAGTTATCACACAGCGTGACCATATTGCTTGGAATCCATCGAAATGAAATGTATAGAATCTCTTATCTATTAGACAAGTCCGTCCGTCCGTCCGTCCGTGGTGCTGTTTCAGCGGCCAAACCGTAAGAGATAGATAAAGAGAATGTTTAAGTTATAAATTAAGAATAGTCTGATAAGACTACATACCGGATTTGAGTAACGTAGCACTTCCGGTTTTCGAGAAATAACGTGATTTCTATTTCAAACGAAACCACACAAAATCTCCGAAGTTCTCAATTAATTAAATACATTTTTTTTTTGGTGAACATTTGGTTCACTGGTTTGCTAGTCTCCGTTAAAAGGTACAATACGGAATAGCATAATAACTCATAATTATACCTAAGTGGAGAGTAACAAGGTATATTAGAGAAGATAGTCGCAACTGCAACTATTTAGCATCTACGAGTACCTACGTGACTTCAACATCCCGTTAAAATTTTTAATTGTTATAACTAAGATCATATTTTGTGAGGAGCTTAGGCGCTTGTCTCACTGCCAACGACGATCGAGAAGCGAGTAGACCTAGAACTTAGAAACGAGTTGGCGAGCGAGAAGCGAGTGTGTAGTTGCGATAGGTTTATCGCTGGACTATAAGCGAGTGTGCGAGACAACGGGCGATTACTCGCGCTTCTCACTGGCGGATGCAGTTCTGAGCAAAAATTCACGCGCGCGTACTGACGGCCAAGCGAGCATCTCTGAGCAGATATCGCTGAGCGAGTTTTACCTTAGATAACCCCTTGTCGCTCAGCGACAAACTAGTGGAACGAGTTTTCGCCGGCAGTGTGAACAGTCAGCGATTATCTATTAACATACGCATCTCTTTTGTTTACACGGAATGCAACTAATAGATTACTATTTACGTTTCTTGAGCGAGAAAACAGCCGATAGTTAGTCGCTGTCTCGCCGGCGGTGGGACAACTGCCTTAATGGCGCAATGGCTATCGTGTTCGGTCTGGATATTAGGCAACTTTCACAGGGCTTGTCGTATGTTGGATGACCAGTTTACCATCCTGGACAAAGGCACGTTCGTGAATCCCATCTGCAATCGTTGACCAGCACAGATCTGTACTGAGTACACTAACGTATGCGCAACTTCAATAGGGATGATGACTATTTTTTTTTCTTCGTTTATCAGGTAGATTATCAAAAAGTATTGGACACGTATTTTTTCTTTTTTCACATAATATAAACATTGCAGAGATATATTGATTTGAAAAGCCGCATGACGTCACGTTTGAGTACACTTATAAGGGAAAATTCACTCAAAAGTGACGTCACGAGCCCCTACTCCCAAACTTTGACGGGCTATAACTTTGTCATTTTTTGGTTGATTGCCCAAAGAAAAAATACGTGTCCATTATTTTTTGATCATCTAACTGACGGACTTAATAGAATTTCGTTTACTGTACCCCGTCATCACCCCTATTGCTTGCACTGGTCTTCTATAACTCTTCCAACGTCTCGAGGGTAGTACTTGTCTTGTTACAGTTTGCCTGCGCTCGCGTTGGGTTAAGCTCGGCCGACAGACTCTATTGGCGACTTTAGGGAAGCTATGTATAAGTTGCGGCACGAAACTTTAGCGCTGACCGTTATTGCGCAGAAGTAAAAATTAAGATGTGTTAGGGGGAAACGAGGTGCGCGGGTGGGCGTGCGTTGCGCCGATTGGCTCTCCAGTCGTACCCATGCGCAGATATTCACCCCGTGTTTTGTTCAGCGCTTGAGTTACGTACCGCGACCTGTACTCTAGCAATAAGTACAGTAATAGGCTGATGATGATGAAAATGAAACAGTTTGGAGGATGCGGCGACAGTATATTAAATAAATCATAATAGGGATGATGACGGGGTACAGTAAACGAAATTCTATTTAGTCCGTCAGTTAGATGATCGAAAAATAATTGACACATATTTTTTCTTTGGGCAATCAACCAAAAAATGACAAAGTTATAGCGCGTCAAAGTTTGGGAGTAGGGGCTCGTGACGTCACTTTTGAGTGAATTTTCACTTATAAGTGTACTCAAACGTGACGTCATGCGACTTTTCAAATCAATATATCTCAGCAATGTTTATATTATGTGAAAAAAGAAAAAATACGTGTCCAATACTTTTTGATAATCTACCTGATAAAGGAAGAAAAAAAAATTAATCATGATCCCTATTGTATTGACGTTGTAACAACATAATGATTTGTAAATGTTGTTACATTAGACTTTTAATGTTGTGGAGATTTTTTGGCTCGTTTCTCTCAGCAGCTAAAAAATATGTCCATAACGAGTGGTAGGGAAAAAAAATTTTTGGACGATTCAAAAGAGTTGTACTATACATCCAATTTGAATAAAGATATATTTATTTCTGATTTCTGAGTAAAGTTTTGACACAGTAGGTGAACTGTAATGGCTTCGGAAGGTACGTTAAGCCGTTGGCCCTGGCTGCGTCAGCAGTCGTTAGCACACACCAATCCGCACTGAGTCCGCATGGTGTGTCCCGATCACCCATCCATAGGGAAGACCTATGCCAGTGGGGAACTGGGGACATTAATAGGTTAAATGATGATGTAATTTTTGACACACTTGGTCCATTTACACAAATTGTTTAGTACCAGCAATAATAGTCGTGCTTTGCGCTCCAAAGAAGTTCTTTACTTTTGACGTTATTATGCAATATGATAAAACATAAAAGCGATAGTTGTTAGCTAATATTAAGGGAAATGAGATGAATACCCACGTGGGTCGTTGGCCCAATAAACTAAGAAGTGGTCACAGAGTTACGCAACATTATAAATTACAAAATTAATATAAAACTACGACGATTCATTGTTGCAATATATATATATATATATATATATATATATATATATATATATATATATATATATATATATATATAAGGCTTTTGAATATTTCGGACTGCCAATCTGCCAATATTGTTGCGGATATCCCTACACCAAACCCGTTTATATTATGTTTTTGCAATAATGACATTGTCTTATTGTTATACTTAGTGCACTCTACAAGCATGTGCTGAACGTCATCGACTGTACCACATCAATATTTTTGAAGTTATACTTCTTTAGGCGCGTTATGAAAAAATGATGAGAGTGAAATTTTAAGATGCGCGCGCATCACTGTAACACAAAAAATTAAAATCGCTAAAGCGACCAACTTCATGCTGTTACTTTTGTGTTTACCGCACATTAAGAAAATCTACCAACAAAATAGAAATAGAATCTCTATTTAGTGGGTGCTAACGACTGCATTGTGAAGGCCTATCAAAAGTATTTATTAATCTGGAACAACGGAACCAAAGCGCGATTCAGGAGACTACAGCGCCATCTCTTGACCATTGGTGTAGTAGAACCAAAAACCACATCTTGTTTTTTTGTAATAAAGTAACAGTTATAGGTATTCATATTTATAATATCAAAAGTATTTAATAATCTGGAACAACGGAACCAAAGCGCGATTCAGGAGACTACAGCGCCATCTCTTGATCATTGGTGTAGTAGAACCAAAAACCACATCTTTATTTTTTGTAATAAAGTAACAGTTATAGGTATTCATATTTATAATATTTATCCACATGTTTCTAGTTTGTATATTCGGAATACGTGTTTGAGTTTCATACAAGTGCAAATCACATATGTTCTAATAAATTATATTCAGTAGCGATTTTAATTGAATATTTTGATTATTTATTTATTTTTTCAAATTAAAACTGAACTTTATTGACTGTGTCCTTTTCCAGACTTTTTATTAATTTATTGTAATTAATTATTTGCATGCAATTAAAAACTAATTTTAAACGATGCCAAAGAAGGATAACTTCTCACGCGCCTACATAAGTACACGCACCCATTTTTTTTAATGTTATAGGTGGCATACGAGCAGACGGCTCACCTGATGGTAAGTGATCACCGTCGCTCATGGACACTTGCAACACCAGGAGTATCACAAATGCGATGCCGGCCTTTAAGGAAGAAGTACGCTCTTTTTTTGAAGGTTTTTGGGTCGTATTGGTCCAATTAGGAGAATCTAAGTTACACTAGTAGTTTATAACGCAATAAATTAAACCC